CAGGCCCCACAGGCCCGGCATCCCAAGGCGCGCGGGGCCTCTAACAGGCCCCACAGTCCGGACGGGTAGGTGGTCCCCAAACAGTGGCTGGCGCACACAACAGCACCTAACGTCCGCTCCGGTGACCGGCGCCGCCTGGACCTCGTTGTTTATTATGGAACGACGCATGTTGGCGAGGCCCTGTGCTGCGACGCAACATTTGTGTTGGCGCTGACACGGACAGGCCTTTCGCAGCTTAGAAGGGCAGCGGGAGGCGCAGGCGGCGGCACAGGGCCAAAAGCATTGTTGGGGGCGAAAGCACGCAGGCCGACTCACAAGGTATGGCAGTCAACCAAGCGCCGGCCTGTGGGCCAGCCTGCGACCGGAGAACGGTGCAAGCGGAAGGGGACAGGGAAGGCGACAGTGCGCGTTCGCTAGTAATGGGTTCGAATACGCGATGCACAGCAATGCCAGCCATGTGGCCGGTCTGCGCACGGTCGCCCAGGCCCTGGTCGGTCAAGCGAAGTGGACGGGCCCCCGCTCCGACTGCTTCCCACGCAACAAGGGCCAACTCGCTACCTGAACGAGCTCGAGTGCCTCACTGCGCTCCTCAGGCTCGGCGCACACTCACCGTTGGTAGCGGCTGGCATCAGCAAAGGCTGGGGAGTGCTTGCGGAGCTCTGCGAACGCGCCCATGCAGCCCAATATGCGGCCCAGGCCTCCGAGGGCTGCCGGTAGGTCTCCACATTTTGCACGTGTGCGACGTTTGGCCACGCCGCCGAGGCTCAAAGCCCCAACGTCGCATATCGCCGCGTCATGTGTGCGCATAAGGCGCCACGGCCTGCGGGGGCACGGAGCGCAGCGATTGGTTGGCTCACGTGCACTGCAAATCAGGAAGCAACGGGAGCTGGTTCAACAGTTCCCTCTCGATCCTCATTCGCCAGCCAACGCTCTTCCAGTGGTTTGTGTCCGCGCCACACATCCGCCCCCAGCTCAGCGACACCGAGTGGAGGCGGACCGCCAGCACAGCTGTACACTCGCGTCTTGCCCTCGGTGGAGGCTATGCCGCGTTCAGCTCCAACGACGCCGACTTCTGTGTCGCGGGCGGCGAGTGCTCACTCGCGTGCTGTCAAAACCTACGAATCGTCGAGGAGCGCAAGCAGGCTGTCCGACTGTCCGACGCATGAAGGGCGGAGGAGGTTTTGAGCAGAGTTCCACGCTGTCCCTCAGTGCATAAAGGGCCGCGGCCAGCGGATCACCTTGCTCACAGCTTTGGTTTTGCGGCAATTGCCCTCACCTTTTCCACCAGCAATAAGTCGGTGGCTGCCCATGTATCTGCATCTGTATCTGTATCTGCAAAAAAGCCGCACGAAGGGGACCAATTCCGGCGCGGCAGCTTGGAGGGCAGTGAGGAAGGATGCGCGAGACATGGTGTCATGAGCACTGCGCCCAGCTAGCGACACAAGGACTGCGTCGTCCCGCAATCGCACATGCGCTGCCAAAGCGTCCGTGCCGGCTCTCGCTTGCAACGCGTATTGGAACGGTAAAATCGCCTCCTCGAACACGCCACGTTTTGGCAAAGGCTCGCGAAACAAGGCGGCGGAAAACGTCGCCAGTTGCGATCCCACGCACGCCTCCATCTGGTCTGCAAAGCGCGGTGAGGCGAGCCAAGGCGAGTCCCGTCACGATGTCTGCAGGCACAGCCGCATTAGTTAGCTCGGTCGCGGTAAAAGGCGGAGCTCTTATGAAAGCACGTCTGCGAGCAGTATTTTGAGGTGCTTTGCATGCATGCCCGAAAGTCCCGCTGCTCCTCCCAGCCGCGCGTCTCGCAAAGCCGCCGCAACTGCAGTTGGATTGGTCCGAGCTGGACCTGCCGGTCCGACCGCTGCTCTACGACGGCTCGCGGGATGGGCGTTCGCGGTTCTGGAGGACGGGGGCCGGGTTCGTCAATGCGTGCCATGTGTCCTCGTTGCCGGGCGCGAGCTCTGCCGCGGTGAAGGAGCTGGCCAGTTCTGGAAAATTCGCACGCCCTGACCTTCGTGCAGGCCTGTTCCCGCTTGCGCTCGGCGAGGGTCTCCGCACCAGTCACCCCATTGGAACGCTGCTGCACGCCCTGGCAATTCCTCACAGCCCTGGGCCCCTCGTTGAGTTGTACGTGCGAGGAGCGTGCGGGGAGCAAGGAGGAACAATTTTCACGTGCGCGAGGTGGGAGTAATGTCAATGTCCGGAGAGGGCGGCCTGCTGGCGGAGTCGCGTATGCGGCTCAGCGCAGTAACCAAAGCAATCCGAACGGCTGGTCGCATGAAGGGCGGTACGTTTTGCAACATGGGCACGGGATATCGCAACTCCGCTACCAGATCAATTGCATCAAGCGTGACCCCGGCTATTTCGGGAACACCTGCCGAGGCGCGCGTGCAGGCAAACCGGGGTCCAAGGACCCCGGTTTCGCTCGCCAAGCATGCATTGCACTCGCCAGGGGCTGAGCTCGGCGGGCGAGCATCCTGCTAGGGCCGTGGGGCGACGGCGCCGGGCGGCGTGACCTGCCAAGCAGTGTGGGTGCATGCACCGCCGTCATCTGCAACCGGTGTTGCTGGCGGCGTGAAGCCCGGCGTCGCCTCGTCCGTGGCTTGGGGTGCCATCGCGCTCAGCGAATCCGATTCTATTTTGGCAGCATCCAAATCCGCGGGCAGTGAGGAGCAGCTGCATTTGGGCAAGTGCATGCAAGGCTTTCTCTCGTGTTTCCTCATCAGTGCCACATGGCGGGCCCGGGTGGGCGGCTTCCCCAATTTGCCTGCCATGCCTTGCGAACGCTGGTACCGCCCGGCCGTCCGTCGGCGCGCGGCCCGGGCGGGAGAGTGCGGGGCCGCACCATCGGCGATCAGGGTGTCGTCGGCGGGAGGTGGGCCAGCAAAGAAGCGGACGCTTGAGACAGCTCGTCCAACGTCGCCCCGCCGCCTTGCAGAAGATACGGCAACACCTCGTGCCGGCGTGTGTCCCTTGTGCGGGCCGGGAGCTCGCGCATCAGGTCCTCGCAGCTTCACGGAGTGTGTGGTGGCGATTGGCGACCGCTCGCCTGCGCGACGATCGCGCTCACAGCTCGCCGAAAGACCGCCCCAAGCCGACGTCGCCTGTAGTTGGATGGCCTGGGGATATGCTTCGCCACTTCTTGTTAGGTTTCGGCCCGGAGGCAGCCGCCTATTCGCGACCCGCTTGCAGCACAAGGACACGAAGACGCGGAACCGCAGCGGCACGTGAGCGTCGGGCGCTGTCTCTGGCTTGGCCACGGGGCTGCGGGCCCGGAATTGCAAGTGTAGGGGAAGCTTGTGGTGCGGGGCCCGGTGGCGGCGAGTGTGCTGCACCGGCCGCCGTCGCCTCCCGGAGCAGGTTGCAGAGAAGGTCCTCGGGCGAAGTGCCTGCCTGCCTGCCCGTTCTCCGCACTGCCGAAGGGCGTTAGGGGGCGCGTATCCGGAACTGTGTCACCGGGGCCCGGACGAGCTCGTTGTGCTGGGGTCCGAAACGCGGCCGGTGGAATGAGGGCATGTATCGGCAGCGAGCGCCGCCGGCTTTGCGCCAGGCAGCAGCAGCGGGCTGGGCTCGGCAGTGGTGGGTCTGCTGCCTGTCGCAGTGCACCGGCTGGACCACGTCTGGAGGATGTGCTCAGGTTTGCTGACGCAGCCGCCCCTGCCCCAGAGCCCTGTTGCTCGTATGTGTCGGGTAGTTGTGCGTTCCCCTTGAAGACGCTGGCTGCTCAGGAAAAAATGCACGGGTCCTGTAAGCTAGTTGCGGGTCGCTGCGGGTCGAAGCTGCTCCCATAAAGGAAACAGAACCGCGCGCGTCACATATCCGTGTTACGATGAATTTGCGTGTAGCTGGCATATGCTGGCCATGCAATGGGCAGTGGAGCCAAGGCGTTGTCCGCCTTGACGTGATGTGTCGGCCCCCGACGGATGACGCGACCGCAATGACTGACTGTGCAAGTGCCGGAGCATTAAAACATTGGAACAGCACTTGGGAATCTCATTGTCATGCTGAGTCTGCTGAGTCATGGTATTCAAGCGCCGTGAGCGTCCTCGCAAATGGCTAGCTTTGATTTGCTATGTGTTGCGATGCCATTGATGGGCTCCTGAAGTGATTTTTACAGACCCCCCCCCTTTGTTTTTGAATTATGGCGCATGTGCCAACTCCGCGGGGGCCGGACGCGTGCTGGCAAGTACTCGTGACATGGCATCACAGCACTTCAAAGATTGAGGCTCAAAGCTAGCTCATTGAAAGCAGCTGTTCTTTGCTTCCGCAGCGGTGTCCTAGACATCATGGAGGCCCGGGTCTCGCAAGCAGAATTGTTTGCTGCCTGTTTTGCAAAGTAGCTTACGACCTGGGCTGGAAGAATTCTTGGGCAGTTGGGACAACTGTACAACTCACATGTTTCTGCGAGTTGGTAAGCAAAGGTGGAACACTCCCAGCCGGCACACGCAAGTTCTAGCTGGCACCAGTTGCTTGAACACATCCGATGTGTAGATTCGGTTTTCATTGCTTGATGCAGGTGTTGATGCGAACATTTCCGGAGAAGACTTACGACGTCACCAATTGCGCTGAAGCATACGCTCTTTGTTGGCTCTGCATCTGCACAAGGCATCCGCGGAGCGCAGAGATCATAATCCCACACCCACTTGAACTTCGAATGCTGATGCGTTTAATTGTGCTAGATATGTGCAGGATGCTGAAATTTTGCATGTTGACCAGGAGGACATTGGAACTGCAAAGTGAGGAGATCGTGCTCAAGACTTCGAATTGCTGTGTAAATTCCGTGCAACGGCGGCCATATGCACAATTGAATCTCCTAGAGCACAGAAGCATCTGCTTCGGCCTGTGCAATGCCATCAACTCGGACCTGGCTCCTATCATTGAGGATGCAGAAGGGCGCAGTCAAGGTGGTGGCATCGTCCCAGGGTGTGGCTGTGACGCAGCATACGTCGAGGAAATCGTGCGCGAGATGAACCTGAGAAAAGAAGGTCGAGGGAAGGTCGCACAAATGAGGCAGCAGCAATACATGTTGGAACGGATCACAGAGCTCTCTGTCAAGCTGCCAATGCTGTTGAAAACGTTGGGGGTCGAGTACCCCCCAAGTGATGCTACGCTTCGGCGACTCTTTGCCGACTCCCCACCTGAAATGCGTCCTCTCATGGATGTGATTACCATGGAGCCAATGCGAACATTCGGGACGACGAACTACGAAACTTGGCAAGCACCGACATTGCGTGTCGTGCGCTGTGCTTTTGTAATCCAGCATCTCCCGAAAACCGTTATTGGATCTCCAGCAAAGCCCAGGATGTGACCAACTGTGCCCAAACATGTGCATGCACTTCGCGGCTTCTCGAGCTGGGGCCAGACGAAGCATCCCTCACGACGCGGCAAAGTATCACCGGAAGTGCTCGCGACCCAGATACCTGTAACAGATGGCCGTGCTACTCCGTTTGCAGTTTTGCCCAGTGTAGCCTAACATTGTGCTGCAACGGCAGGTCATGGTAGCCAAAACTCCATATGCAAACATTGAGTCCGCTTCTTGGCAGCAGAGGCAGCTCCTGAGGTAGCATCACAGACGTTCTGCTCTTGAGGGATCTGCGCTACGCGCTGAAGATTTGTCAGCACAAGCCGAGTGGATTTCGTCACTCCAGGTCGATGCAATCTCGTCTTGCTGCTGCCTGAGTTTGCTCACGGCCGGGGAGCTCACCAAACCTCCTGGAAAGCCAATTGACGAGGCCATTAACCCAGGTTGTGGCTGCAATGCCGCTCTCATCGAGCAAATTCGAGCTGATCTTCAGGCACGTGTGGAAGTGCGAGGGAATCAGGGCCAAATCAAGCAGCTGGAGAAGATGATGATGAAGTTTCATGACATGGCAGCAGAGCTGCCCCTCATTCTGGACAAGATCGGGGCAGACACTTCGTATCCCCCTAAGCAAGAGACCATGAGCAGCATCTATGGCAGTACGCCACCTGATCTGTCCAACTTGGCAGTGGCTCCACATGCAGCACCAAGCACGGACATGCCGGTCAAAGAATACAATGTGCGGAACGAAACTTTAAATTGTTGTTCCTTAGTTTCCACATGTGGACTCGCCGGCTGCATGACGCACACCTTAACCTTGGAGCCGGAGCAGGCAGTTATCCGCTTCAGCAACACCTGCGCCTCCTCCACTGAGAGGAAGCCCTATGCACAGCTTGGTTCGGTGGATGAGTACATTTGCTGCTGCATCCATAGCATCAATGGAATGAGTCCAGGCTGTTGCGGCACACCTTCGACAGTGAAGGAGATTGCTGAAGAATTGCAGGCTCGCAAGGTGGGACGTGGCAACATCGCGCAGCTGCGAAACCAAGAGAATACAATGATCAAAGCCATCGAGACGGAGCCTCGACCTTGCTTAATCACTTTGTGAAGGCTCATAAAGAAGCTTGCTGTTTTGAGCAGGGTCGGGCTGATTCGTGATGTGCCGAGGACGTGCGCACAGACATTCTCCTACACAAGAAAGGCATCGAGTACCCTCCATCACAGCAAACACTGCAGGCCATCTACAGTTCTGTGCCAACACTGCCGCCAAGCGGCAGGGACGGTCAGACTCTGCACGCGAATGCTTCGGAGCAGATGGACACGAAGCACTATTCCATCGTGAACTGTTTTGATCAAGTCTGTTGCTGCATGTCACACAAACTTGAGCTCAACGATGAGGAGGCCATCTTCAGAATGTCCAACTGCTGCATGCAGATGATCTCAAGGGAACCGTATGCTCAGCTGGGCTCAGTGGAACCAATCTCAGGATGCATGGGACTGTGCAAATCCGTCCACACAGATAAGAATCACATTTGCCCCGGATGCGGATGCAGTCACCCGCTCGTCAACGAAATCGCGACTGAGCTGCAGCATCGCAAGGTCAAGCGCGGCAACATTGCCCAGATTCGCATGCAGGACGACCACGAAATTTGTGCGCAATGGTTTATAAAGAAGTCTTGCAATCATAGGTATGACGATGACGGTGACTACATAATATCGCTTTTCTCGTCCTTCGACACCTGGGACGCCCCCCCCAACCCGGAACATCCCGGAACCCGGGATCCGGGGACTGAGAGCCTCAGCGCAAGAAAAACGATGTCCCTGATAACTGCGATGATAATGCCCTTGATGCTGGCAAGTTAAGGTTGCACCATGCTGATATTTTCAGCCACACATACGGTCATGACAATGGTGAGAGGTACAGACGAAAATCTGAGGACACAGGAAGGCCAGGATGATTGTAAACATGAATGATGGTGGCGGTGGCAGTGATGATGCCGATGCCGATGAAGCATTTGACCATGACAGCAAATATGTTGACGATGCTATGCCACTGCTTTGCTACAGGACTTACGACTGCCACGACTACGACTACGACTACTACGACTACTACTACTACTACTACTACTACTACTTTTACTTTTTTGACTTTGATTCGCAGCGTCGTCAGGCGACACTAAGCGTCCGAAAAGACCAGTTCTGATGAACCGGCTGCTTCACACAGTTCCGTGATCGCAGCTGTGCACGTTCGGCACCAGCTATGATGTGGCATGCAAATGTGTCCAAAGACACGTTCAAAAGAGAAAGCTGCAGCCCCGTACCGAAGTACCAAGCAGGCTGCAGAACTGCTCAAGGCCGATTGGCCCCCTCCAAATGCGAAAAGCTGTCCAATCTTCGAAGACCGACAAGATAACCACCAGAATTGATTAAATCATTCGAGCTAGTGGAAATCTTCAAACTGCTATTATCATCCGACAGGTGAAAGACATGCTGGTTCGTTGTCGGGTCAGAGCCACTCAGAGCCGAACGATAGTGACCAGCCTTGATAGTTTCACCAATGTGGAAGACGACACCCATGACAACGTAGGCAACAATGGTCGTCAAGAGCCCAGCTGTGCTGTCAAAGCCAGGAATTCTAACCAATTCACCTGCGCGGATCGTGACACTTTGAGTATCTTTAAGGACACCCGCCGAAGAAGCAGCATCCACTCGGAAACGCTTCAATGCCAGCAGCATAAGTATAGGGGCCTGTGCAAGGGCATGGGTAAGTCAATGGCAATCGGAGAGAAGCATTCACCTGAGTCAAGGATTCGAGTCGTAGGAGGGGGGCCCTCCTGTACCAACCGAGCCTCCCAGTGTCCCTTATAAGCCTCCGGCCGCGCAAAATCGAGCAGAAAGGCAGCGAATTCTGAAACGTCCTGTTGCTGATGTACATTCTGCCACTGTGATAATGCCTGTCTCCAAGGTAGTAGAGACAGCAGGTGAGTCGAACCTTGCTTCCGAAGGATACGTATAGCTGTTGAGAGCCTGCCATGTGAAAGCGAGCCAGAGAGGCCACTGCCCATCCAATGCTGCAAATGACACCATGAATTAATATAACAAACGTTCGAGGAGTTACGGAGAATGAATCCTGCAGGTGCTCCCAGCCTTGCGGAGAGGATCAGCTGTCCCGTTTGCTCTCCTCCACCTCCATTGCTGCCTTGTCTTTCTGTGCCGAGTCTGCCAGGATCGGAGCAGGGCTCGATGGAGCAGCTTGGGATGGCGGTTTCCGCTGCAGTCGTGGTGGAGGGTCCGACGGCGGGAAACGCTCCGCCAATACTTTGGCCAATGGCTGACGATCCATCTTCGCCGGCCACAGGCGGAGGCCCAGTACTTTGCTGGCTCCACAACCACAAAGGTTTGTTAGCATCACCCATGCCTGCGAGGCTCGTGCGGGTCTCGTAGTCCAATCAAAAGGAGAAACATCACCGTCTCCCCTTGGTAGGATTCCGCCATTCGCCGAGTTGAATGGAACTTCAGCAGGGCATGGGGCGCTGTGATCGTCTGCTGAAGGTGATCGAGGGAGGTAACGATGTGGGAGTGGAGCATCGGCTGAACGTCTTCGATCTTTTCCATTGCCTCCTTGTCCTGGTTCCATCGAAGATAGAACCAATGAAGCTCCGTCATTCCCTCCGGGATCTCCGCATAGCCCTGGGCTATCACCTGGTTTCTCAGGGCCTCGTCCGCCTCCAGCACTCTCATTCTCTCGTGCCACATCTGCAGCACTGCAATGAATAACGCCTGGCGCAGGGAGCAGTCCACCAAGTTCTGCTCCTTCTTCTCCTTCCAAACCATTGCAATCTTGTACATCTTTGGAAGGGCTGCTCCCGACCTCGTCTCGAAGGTGAGAATGAAGTCCTTCTCCGTTCTCATTTGAGAAAGCTCGTCCTCGTGTCGAAGGCACATGCGAGTGAGCATCTTTATGCTCTCCTCCATTTTGTCCTCGAACTGTTGGTCTCGATTCTCCCTCCGACCCCAATATTGCTGGCCGCGCTGATTGTTCCAGCCCCGGCGGTTGCCGTTTCCTCCTTGGCCATTGCAGGACTGATTGCCCCATCCTCCTTGTCTGTAGTCCCGGGGCTGATAGTTGTCGCTCCTGCCCCTGCTTCCGAAGGCTTCCGCCGCCGAGTTCAGAGCATCCAGGATTGGGGTCCCCTCCTCTATCACCGCTACAGCCGCTCCCGCCGGCTGGGAGGACAGCCCTTTCCCCTGACCTTGTCCCTTGGACGTCGGTCGAGGATACTTTGGCTGGCGATCGACTGACTCCTTCGCAGCTGTCTGGTCCGCTTCGGTCTCCCTCTTGCCGGTCCGATTTCTTGAAACATCTCCTTCACTTCCTCTGCCGGGGTCATGGCTTTCCTGGGCAAAGAAAATCGACCTTTGTTGCAAACCCCTAGGCTTCAGCACCTGACGGACGTAGCATAAATGCTGCAGCAACGTGCAACTGTGTCGCTGTTTGAAGACTGCTCCACAAATGCCACAAGGACTGGTGCATGCTGCAGGAACGATTTGACAGATTGAGCGAACATCAGTCTGAGTCTGATAAACCTTGGGGTGGGCCGACTTGAGATGATTCTCAAGGGAGCCAGTGCGATCTGAGATCCATTGACCACAAAAGGCACAGTGACTTAGAAGCTGCTCTTTGATGCAAGGTAATTATATCAATCGGTGCCGCTGAGGTCCCTGGAGGATCTCCATGTGGTTCGAATCTGCCCGTATTTGCTTGAGGAGAGGCTCCGCGGCGGACCGCTGAGCAAGCCTCTCTGTTCCGTCATCAGGCTTTGCAACTTGATCGGGCCGGGTAACATCAGCAGGTGTTTCTATGACTGCCTGTTGAAGACCTGGGCAGGCATTCAATATGTGTGAACGAAATTCCTGCCAACCAGAGAGTCGAAGCCCACAGTGCTTGCATACCGGCATACCATCAACACAATGTGTAGAAATGTCCAGGGTTTTAAAGTCAGAAGAGCGCTTGTCGATCTGCCCAGAGATTTTAATTCCATGTTTTCTGCTGTGGTGAATCTTCATTATCTGCCTTGAGGGAAAGTAGATTCCACAAGTGGGACACGCACAAGAAGCAGTCATACCATCTATTTCCCGAAGTTGTGTGGAAGAAGTAAGGCACATGGTAGCTGTTTGCGTTGTTGGCAAATCGCGCTGCTTCTGTGTGATGGTGCCACCTAGTTTCAAGAAGACCTGTCGGATGCTGGTGACCTGTAACCGCTTGAAAAGTTGCTCCGTGGGTTCACGTGTGAGGTGCACCGGAGACTTGGCTACAGCTCGAAGATATTTGATGTCTCGACGGTGGAGCTGCATGAGATCCTTGTCCGAAAGACCAATGGTCGGCAGTCCATACAGAAAGGTAGAGCGAACACAAGCCGTGTAGATCTGCAGTCTTTGTCTCAGGCTCAGGTATTTAGAGCAGTGCAACACCTTGGCTAGTCGCTGTCGTGCAAGGCCTGCTGCCTTCAGTCGGTGTTGGAGGGAGGCCTGCTCAAAATTCTGGTATGACACCATGATGCCTAAGTACTTGGACTGCTTGGAGATCGGAACCGAAACATAGCTTGTACCATGTTGTAACATGAACATACGCTTGCCGTTGTGCACATGAGCATGTTGCTTCAGCCATCTTGCTCCATGGGTTCCACCAAGCTTAATGATGAGCGTTGACTTGTCCGGGTTTATTTGCATCCCGTACTTCCTGTAGACATCAAAGACCGCCAGGGCCCTCTTGATCCTAAAATTCAAATCCCGTTCTGACTGTAGTCGCCAAGCACAGCGAGTGTCGTCTGCATAAAGCGTCATCTGTTCCCTAGGCCAGGAGCTTTCGATTGCTTCTTCTACCTGCCTTAGCAGAAAAACACTGTAGAGCGACCAAAGGATGGGTGCCAAGGTGCATCCTTGGCGAACTCCATTCTTCATATCTATAAAGGATTCAAAGCCCTCGTGAACTACACGATATCGGCACACACAGTGTATGTCTATTATGATGGAGATCAAGTTGGAAGGCACTCGCGCCCACTGTAAAGCCGACAGCAATGCACTTCGAGGCATACGATCAAAAGCTGCCGACATATCCAGAAGCATTGGGCTCCTCCAGTGTACTTGCTTCTTTGGCGCCCTTCTCGCTTCCCCAAGACCGTAATGCGATCCGCGGCGACTGCTTCTCTAATACATCGACAGTGCCCTGCGACCCGCTGAATTGCATCAGTGGTCGAAAGATTCTACAAATAGGCAAATCGAGGATAGACTGCAAGCAAATCTTTAATATGAACTAGCAGTTGTTGTTTGACAACTCGAGCGATTGCTTTACCAGCCGCATCCTGTATGCCCAAAGGCCTGAGAGATTCTGGTCTCTTGATGCTCTTCCCCGGTTTCGGAATTAGTGTGAGCTTGCAATCCGCCCACAGGTTCGGAAAACCGGCAATGGACTCACTGTGGAAAGCCTCAATCAATGGTCCAGCCAAGACCTCGCGACAGTGTTTCCAGGCTGAAGACGGCGCATGACCCGGCGGTACGGCTCTACCAGCTCCAAGCTGCCCTAAGGATCTGACCATCTCTTCCTCCGTAATGATGATCGGGTCAAGTCTGGCTTCCGGCTCGACATCAGTTTGAGAGCCATCATACAGTGCATAAAAATATGCTGAGATCTCTGCATGTTCCTCCTTCGGGGTCAAGAGATGACCTGCTGAAGAACGTATTCGCACTTTTCCTCCTTGTAGTTTGGGAGAAGTCAGCCCGATGACCTAGTATCAGGAGCGGACATCCTTACGCTTCTCGGCTTGCTGTGCCTGTTCGAGCTGTTGTAACAGACTCCTCTTTCGATGCCACCGGCCTCTTTGTCGCAGTACCCGATAGCTCTTCTGGAAACGAGCATAAGCTCTGAAAGCCTCGAAGACCTGCCTCCGAGAGAACAGACCAATTCTTACATTGTGACCGACTCTGCCAAGTTCTGCTCTGTAAGCCCACATCTTTCTCACCGAGATTTGTACATCCTGCTGTTGCCATGGTCGTAGAGGTCGAGCGGTTCTGCCTGCAGGAAAAATTCTTGCACAAGTGCTGAGCAGCAGGTGATTGAGGGAGTCTGCCGCGTAGCAGCGTAATGAACCAAGGCCTTGTTGAACTTCCTGTACCAGTTGTTGAGCCTGCCGATCATGCTGATGTATGGAAAGTTCAAGAGCCGCTTTGTCATATGCAAGGTGAGATTGTGTCGGAGCCTTGTCGATCGAGCTCCGGCCTGGTTTGAGTGGCACGCTAGCTTGAATTGGCAATGCCTTGCACCCAGCCTCCAAGGCGAAAAGTTGAGGGAGCGGAGTGGCTTGGACTGTTTGGAGACTGAATCCGCTGTATTTCTCCTTGTTCATGATGTAATCTATCTGGCTGTTGCTTTGTCCATTGATAAAGGTGTGCATGCCTGTGTCCACATCCCTAGACCACGTGTTCAATAAACATAGGCTGTTTGCCTTGGCAAAGCCAATAAGATCGTCCTGGTCGAAGTAATATGGGTTGCGATCCGGAGCAGCATATCCAGCAACACCCGGCTCCTTCCTGGCTGCACAATTAAAGTCCCCTCCCAAGAGCAAAATGTTGCGACGAGGGAGGCCTGCCACATAGCTGCCCAACTTGTTCCAGTATTGCTCCCGCCTTGAAGCATTGACTGATGCGCTGTCCCGGCTGCTAATCACGTGCTGATAGCATGACAATAAGTCTATACTGTAGAGCTTGCCTGTGAGTCGAACGTGTAACAATCTTCCCGGCACCACTTCCAAGCTGCGAACCCCATAGTGTCGAGCGAAACGCTTGGCGACGCCTGCAAAACGAGATTTGACATCCGGAGAACTGATTATATACCATTCGCCTGCCTGCCACTCGTTGTATTCGCCGCCAAATCCTCGATATGTTTCCTGCATGAGCAGGACATCGTATGGAGCTGTGTCTAACCAGAGCTGAAGCGAATCATACAGTGGCGAATTCATGCCATCGAAGTTGACACTGAGGACGCGCATGCGGGGCCCCAAGGTCGGGGATGAGTGTCTAGTCGGTCTGGTTGTTGCATTGGAGGGAAGCCTTAAAGAATTTAATTCGGAAATGGAAAAAGTTCTGCCACGATAACGAGTGCTGCCTGTATGGTTGCTCTTCGTATTGCCCGCCTGTAGGAGCGCTTCCGTGCAGCTGGCAAATCTGCAGCTCGTAGGTTGGCATCGGATGACCCACTGTTTTGCACTGAACCTCCAGAGGACAGTTCCCAGCAGCCCCGTGGGCAAGCTGCTAACCCTCACATCTGTCGCAGGTGCCGCTTCTACTGCTGCACAGTTAAGGAAACAAATGAATAGAAAACATGTGCAGAGCAGGCGCAAGCTGCAACCTCGGGACTTGGGACCCGAGCGGCTCCTGGTTGTCCATGGTAAAGGTGGCGCTGGCTGTTGTTCAGGTAATCCTTCATGGGGCAGACAAGCATAGCGATCCTCGATGGAATAACCTGTCGTGCCTGTACGGTCATCTTGATGAAGCTGTCGGTAGAGGACCTGGCAGTGGTTGGCGAGATTCCAGATCACAGAGATGCAGTGAGGTAGTAGCAGCAGAAGTCGCATAGCTGCACTTGCAATCCAGAAGAGAAAAGGATCTTTTTGCTGTTGCCGCGTAGAGCCACAGTCAGTCTTTGGTCTGGCCAACAAAGCCGAAACCATCTTTTTCAGAGAGTGACTCGCTGGGCCCATAGGAGCTTGCATCCTCATCGTCCGTCGATGGTTCTCCAAGGCTTCCTGTGGTATGGAAATCCTGGTCTCGCCTTGGTCTACCGCCGTTCTCATCTCGAGAAAAGTCCGTGGCGAAGGGATCGTCTTCCGTTGGCTCCTCCTCTTCCTGCTCCTCCATGTAGGCGTCCAGAGGATTACGGGGAGCCGGCTCCTCGGTTGCATGCGACCTATCGCGTGCCACGGCTGCTCTTCGCTCTCTGGCTGTGCCCATGGCCCAAGCTGGGGTTCCTGCCCTGCCCACAAGAAAATTCCTATGGATAAGTTCAGAAGAGTCCAGGGAATCCACCGAGCCTTGGGAGCATTGGGAGGCATCATCTTCCGCTGCTCCGTCTCCTTCAGCAGCTTCGCTGTGTATTGGCACTGATGGGGGAGGTCCGCGAGGAGGTCCGGGCATGTCATGTCAGCACTGCTCCTCGCCCTCGAGTTGGGCCTGAGCCTAGCTTTAGGCCGGCTCTTCGGCTCTTCTCTACTTCTTGACCGAGACCGCCTCTCTGTTGCCGGTGCAGCAGAGGAGGAAGGCAGGCTCGAGGTCGCAGTCCCTTCAGTTTCCTCCGCAGCAGCAGGTGCTCCAGGAGTTGAGTCAGACGTCGGGGCCGGCATGCTCTCTGCAAGATTCCTTCTAATGCAGTGCGGTAGGTCGTCCAGTAGCGACATTCTACCAGACTATCATGGAATGCGGTGTGCTCGCTGTGAGCCCTGACACGCAACACAACAAAGAGACCAGCTCCGTAAACAGCTGCCGCGGCCAGAAGTGCAATCAGAAACCCTCCCATTAAACAGGCCAGATGAGCCTCCAGGCCATTGTTCTGCATGCTCGCTGTCCGGCTCCGAAAGAGGAGAAAGGCACCGCGAAGGCTTCTACACAGAGACCGGAGGCAAAAGAGAGACATCTTGTTAACGAAGTCTTCAGTCCAGTGCATGAAGGGCATCCACCTGACCCCCTGCTTAATCCATCTCCTCCAGTGAGATGCAGGTTCCAACAGCTTTGGCATAAGCTGCCTCAACCATGCAAATGCAGAAGTCAATGTCAAAGAACTCCGTTCTACGAATGTAATGGACACGTCTTGGGGGCTTAAGAAGTGGCCACAGGTCCTGCCAGATACACATTGGAGAGCAAGCCCTCCAGCTGAGATAGTACAGATCATGCAGCGAGCACTTTGCAGACCATGGCAGCCCTCTGATGTGTTCCAAATAGAACTCCATAGACAGCTGAAATGTAAACCAATGCAGAGCAGTCGACCAGCGCCACGTGGTGTCATGCTTTGGAATCTTGTTGCTGCCATGAGGAACACATTCCCACATAGGCTGAGGAACCATGCTTGCATGACGGAGCAAGGCCGTTCACCGAAACCGAAGCAAGCCAGCAAAGAAACCGCAAGACCAAACCAAAGCCCGAAGACAGGAAAACGCGCGCCAGCTAGCTGTGGAGCCGAGCTGCTACTAAACCTACTACTACTACTACTACTACTACTACTACTACTGCTACTGCTACTGCTGCTACTACTACTACTACTACTACTACTTCTACTTCTGCTACGACGACTACTACCACCACTACCACTGCCACTACCACGGCGACGACGACGACGACTAC